AATTTTATATAATTGTTAAAAATTCTCCCTTATTTTTTTTTGCAAGAAGCCACATTTCACCCTTAGATCTAGTCTTTCAAGATCATCTTATGGTTAAAAATGTTCACTACTAAAGATTGAATTTTTAATATTGTTGGAACCACGTGAAAAGACCAATTTATCCCCATTAGAAAGTTTTCAGTTTTTAAGCCATTTTCTTGGAAAACAATACTCCCTTCTTCATTTTTGTGATTTTAAAGCATAAAAAATTATGAAATAATATTAAATTAAGATCTAAAAATTTTTTGTGAAAATTTAACCTCAGGAAGATCAAATTAAGAAATTACCTCTATGGGGTATTTTAGTTATTTCACACCAATCGATGTGTTATCAAGGTTTTTAAGAAACCACAAATTATCAAATAATTTAAAAACACGATCCAAAATGTTTCGTGAAAATACCCCTAAAGAATATTTGAATGATTTCACATCTTTCGAGATACGATTAAGATTTTCAATATACCAAAAATCATCAAATAATATTAAATCATAATCTAGAACTTTTCGTAAAATTCCAACCTCAAGAAAATTAACTTACGAAAATACCCTTAAGAGTATTTTAGTAATTTCACATTTTCAAGGTGTGATTTCGATTTTTAATGCATCAAAAATCATAAAATATTATAAAAATCATGACCTTAAAGTTTTCACAAAAATATGATTTTAAAAAGATCAAATTACGAAGATATCCGTAAAGGCATTTCAATAATTTTACACTTCTTAAAATGCAATTAAACTTTTCAATGCTTTAAAAAATCTTATATTCAGTTTAAAACAACATTATTTTCAATTCAATTGTGAATTTTAAAAGTTGACCCGAGTTCTATTCGCTTTGACCAATTTTGACCAATTTTTATTAAGCTTGACTTTGTTTGACCAAGTTTGACTTTAGGGCATTTAGGTCAAATTGGCTCCAATTTTAATCTTAAAAACTTGTCAAAATTAGAAAAAAAAGTTGGATTTTGACTAGGTCGGATTTTAAAAGCTTTATAAATGGTCAAATTTTGCTCGAATAAAATTAAGTGTATACACACATAAGTTTCCAAGTCATTTCTCCTGGCTAATAAGAAATGACTTATTACTATGTCATCAATGAGTAATCTCATATAGGTGCTTTTACACAAGCTATCATAGATTTATATAAATTTTTTGAATTTTTCACCAAGATTGAACAATTCTAACTCCCAATGCTTCAGCTAAGCAAATTTTGAACAATTTTACACTTTCACTCCAAGAGTTCCAAAAAATCAATAAGAACACATAAAAAACAATCCAAGATTCATTCCAATGTATCAAGAAAATTTTGAGATTGATCTAGAACTTCTAATATTTTTCAAGATTCAATCTTTTCTTTAAGATTTGTTACAAAACAACAAATTAAGCACATTAGAAGTAAAAAGGCCATTATTTCACCAAGAACTAAGCAAAAATACTCATTAAGCACTAAAAACAAGTCTAAATAATTCTATTTTATAGAGTTATCACCTTTCTTCATTAAAGCTCACCAAAACACCTTTCGAAGAGATTTATTGTATATTTTCTCCAAGTTGATAAATACCATATGTAGATTTTTCTTTCTCACTTGAAAACCTTCAAACAAAAGCCTCAATAAGTGAATTGCCTTTGTTGTAGGGCATTTTGGCATAAACTCAAATTGGTTTTTGAAAAATAGTGACTTCGTGTCGCAACCTACATTTAAATGTTATCTTTTAAAATTTTACAATATGACTCATAAGCTTTATTTCTTGATAGTTTGAATAATTTTGTATATCACCTTTATTCTTGTATAAAGGCACTAAAGTACTCTTTTTCCATTCTTCTAGCATCTTTGAAGTACACCAAATTTGTTGAAAAGATCCATCAACCATCATATCCCTATTTCACTCAAGCATTTTCAAACCTTAATCGGGATTCCATCTAGTCCTATAACTTTTTTTTCTTTCATTACTCTCAAAGTCTCTTTAACTTCATAACTTTTAATATTAGGTGTAAACACATGATTTATATCTTTAAAATGTATGTTAAGTTCACCTATATCATGCTTAAAATTATCATTAAAGAAATTATCATAATAATCTCTCCAGGGCTTTTTAATCTCCTTATCCTTCACTAAAGCTCTTTCATTACCACCATTGATGTATCGTATGCCATTAAGATCTTTACTCTTCTTATCCTTCATCTTAGCAATTTTGAACAATTCTTTTTCTTCATCTTTTGTCTCTAGTTTTCTATATAATTCTTCATAAATGCTAGTTTTTGAATCTCGAATAACTTTTCTAGCTTCCTAATTTGTTATCTTATACTTTAGATAACTCGCTTCATCCTTATTACTCCTTAAATTCGTATAACACTCTCGCTTAACTTTAATTATCATTTTCATATGCCACCACCAGGATTCTTTTCCTAATGGTACACGACCTTTAGATTTGCTAAGTGTCTCTTTAGCAACGTTTTGAATTCTAATAGAAAATTTTTCCCATAATACTTCTATATCTTTATCAAGCTTCTAATTAACCTCTTTTGCCAATCTATCCCTAAAAGTTAACATTTTATCTCCTTCAGATTCTACTACTTAATACATTGTTCATGACTTTACGTTTCTTCTTGAACTTTAAAAGGTTAAAGATATCTAGAATTAGCATTCTATGTTGTGTTGTCACACTCTCACTCGATATAACCTTACAATCCCTACAACTACTTCTATCTTTTTTCTTTGTAAAAAAGAAAATCAATTTGACTAGCGTTTGAGCCACTCCTAAAAGTCACTAAATGTGATTCTTTTTTCCTAAAATACGTGTTTAATATAATTAGAACAAATGTAGTAACAAATTCTAGAATCTTACCTTCGATATCATTTCTTTTTCCAAAGCATATCCTCTATGCACCCTTTCAAAGTCATTATAATCCTTATGCACATCACCATTCATATCACTTCCAATAAAAAATTTTTCTCCATTTGGTATGGGTGGTACTACCTCATCTAAATCATTCCAAAATTTTTCTTACTCATTTGATCCAAAACTATTTGTGAGGCATAAGTACTAATGATATTAATAGTTTCCTTCTTAATATAAGTTTAACATGTAAAATTCTATCTCATTTTTTTTAACCTCAACCACATCATCTTTTAAATTCCTATCTACAATTATCTCCACTCCATTTTTACTCTTATATTTACTTGAGTACCAAAGCTTAGAGTCACATATTTCTATCTCTCTAGCCTTTTCCCTCATCCACTTAGTTTTTTGGAACATATAATATTAATTTCTCTCTTAATCATGAACTTTCCTATCTTTACTAGTTTATTAGTTAACGATTATATATTTTAAGTAGTTAAGCGTAATTTACCCTTATGGACTAACTTTTTTACTCATGTTTATCCATTAAAACATGAGAACCCTTTCTTATTTGACACCACACCAGGGCGAAGATATGGCGTGTCATTTTCGAATGACGACTTAACAACCCTTACTCATTTAACAATACATTTGGGCTTTGATGTAGCGTGCCGCTAGGAGGTGACAACCTAACGAAAATTTTTATTTTGGTCTCTCATCATGGTTTGACTATATTTGGGCAAAAAAGGTTGCTTGTGTATTATCCAGACTTGGGACCAGCGATGTGATAATACACAGGCTTACTAAAGCTCAGAATAGGTTCGCAAGCCACTGGAGTAAGGCATTAGTATGCTTGAATTTGGTTTGCTCGATAAATTAAGCTAATCGAACTCGAACTTCGATTGACAATGATTGAATCAAATTTAATTTTTTTTAATCGAGTTCAAGCAACTCACAAACATTACTTTCTCATTTACATTTGTAACCTAGCGTACCAAATTATGGGAAAAAAAAACCCTAACTTACCAAATTCAAATATTGATTATGTACAATGGCATAAATATAAACTAATGATTTTTTTTAAATTAATTTTTTATTTTATTTTAAATGTGTTTCAATTTGATAGCAACGATTTTGTCAAGGATAAAGTAGTAAATAATTTAACCAGAAAAAAATTTGAATGAAAGGTGTTAAATGCACACCACCTTTTTCTTTTCACACTCAAGCTTTTTTTTTTTTAAAGTTTTTATAAGTAAAATTATTTAATTACCATTTCTCTTTCATTCAAGTTTTCGTAATGAAATTTAGGAAAGTTATAAATCTTTTAAAAAATAAATTTTCGAACAGTTATTGAAATGGATTTTTGAAAAGTCAAATAACTTTTCGAAAATCCATTTCCAAGAGGTGAGATAGTGAAATAAAAAATTATAAAAAAATTTTATTAAAAATTATTATTAATTAGTTTAATAAAAAATTATTTTTAAAAAATCATAAATTTTAAAATTAATAAAAAATAAGTTAATTTTACTATTTGACCTTAAAAAAATAATAAAATTTTATGAAATTTTACTTAAATATTTTATGTATTGGTGTTATAAAAGGTGATGAAGGAATTATCAAATTTGATCAATGTTTGAAAGTTGAAAACTTTTAGAAGTTTTACAATAATATTATTTAATACTATATAATTTTTTTAAAATCTAATATATGAATGAAAAAACCAATCGTAACAAATAAATAAAGAGATTTTTTACAGAAGTTTAATTTAATTAGAACTATTATAAAATTTTAATAATTAATATTAAAAAAATATTTATTAAAAAAAGTGAATTTTAAATTTAAAAAATAAAATTAACTTTTTATTAATTTTAAAATTTATAATTTATAATAATTATTTTTTATTACACTAATTAATAAAATTTTTAAAAAAAGTTCTAGTTTTTGTAATTTTTTAAAAAATTTTACTATCTTATTTTTTAAAAATAGATTTTCAAAATGTTATAAAACTTTTCATAAAGATATTTTCGAAATGATTTATAATTTTTTGAAAATTAAATAATTTTAATTATAAAAAATTTTGAAAAAAATAAAATGTTATGAAGAGAAAAAGTGGGGGTAGATTTGGCCCCGCTCAAATGGTAAACAGAGACCTCGTTGGGAGAGATAAAAAAACCCCCAAAAAATTTGCTAAACCCCACTCTTCTGATAAGGTAAAAAAATGCACATAAACTCCTGTCCAATTCAAAGTTGTGCAATTGGACACAATTCGTTTCTATTTCCTGGCAGTGGCAGTATAAGCTACGGTTTGGGATTGGGTTGGAACGAATCTCAATTCTTCTGCAAAACCCAAACCCCTAGGTATCGCGTTGGTGTCATCAAGAGGAAATGCCGTCGCAGCGGCGTAATCAGGGCCGCCGCCGGCTCTGGCATCGATTATTATTCCACTTTGAACGTCAGTCCCGGTGCCACTTTGCAAGAGATTAAGGCCTCTTACAGGAAGCTGGCTCGCAAGGTTCGTCGCTTTTTCCAATTAGCTTGGTCTTTGTTTTATAATTCGCATTTCGGTGATATTATTCTATCTTTTGGGAGAAATAGAATTTATCGTTTCTTTGCTTATGGAAAACATTTTTTTTTTCTAATTGAAATGTTATCAGGCCGTTGCTTCTCATTGATTATTTTTGAACTGTTTGCTGCAAATAAAAGAAAATGTGATCGAGCTTTTGAAAATAAGAAGTGATAACATTCGTGCATTGCTGTGTTGGGATTTTTTAAAAATTTTTTCATGATCAATGGAATGAAATAAAAAATAAAAAGAGTAGGTTAATGAATTTATTGATTTGATTTCAGATTAAACATTTTAGAAAACGATGTGCATTTGAGTTTTTAATCAAAAAAAATCAAAGAAACGAAAACTTGGCTATAGATTCTACTCCTAATAATGTAGTTGTACCCTTCAAAATTTTTGGTCCTTGAGAGCTTGACAAAAAAAAAGATGCTAAAATACTTGTCAATTTTTTAATATTTACATACCATTACCATATATCATCCTCTATTATGAGATTCAACCATTGGAAGACTGAATTAACCATAAATTATCCACTTCCATATGATTCTCGCTTTTACATTTCTTGATGTTGTCACCTCTTGATTTCTACCATCTAATTTTTTTTTTCTTTATTCATGTCATGTTTGGACTTGATGTTCATGCAAAAATTCAAAAACTCACAAATCTCTTACTATTTTTACTTATATGTTGTGGAATTTGAGGTAAGGAATTATTTTGGGCAAGTTTTAAGTTCAAGAGTTGTCATTTTGATTTATTAAAAATAAAAGAGCATTAAAGATGCTGAGAAATAAAGTTATAAAAAGAAATTGAAAAGTGATGAGAAATTCAAAAAATAAACTAAAAATTTGTGTGAAGCAGCCCAAATTTGTATAAAGAAAGATTGGAGGCCTATTTCCATTGACACATTAAAGTCAGAAAAAATAGGAAAAATACAAGGAGCAACTATGTTCACCTTATTTGGTCAACCAAACAGGTGAAAGTGCAAAATGAGCTAGGCACCGTACCAGTGATAGTACCTGCCCTTCTACTTTAGTATACTATATATGAGGATAGGAAGTGATACTTATTTTATGTAACTTTGTTTGAAAGGAGCGAAGATGAGACAATAAATAGGGAAAAGTCAAGTTATCAAGCTGGAGGAAATTCAATTCATTCATAAAATTTTAAAAGAGAGAGTTCAAGTTGATGTCACACTAATTACCTAGTTGCTTTAGATAGTGAGTATTCTTTTCTTCTTTTGAGACATGCATGCAAGCTTCTAGATACTTGGAATAGTGTATTTTAGTTGCGTTCAATGTCTTTGGATCCTCATTGTCACTTTGATCTGAAGCTATGGACTATCTTTGGCTCTAACCAATGGGATCAGTCCAAGGTTTATTAACCAGTAGAGTCAAGTTTTACTTAATTATGTAGAAAAACCAAGGTTTCTTTAATTATGTAGATAAAGAAAGCAATTCAAAACCCTTAAATTAGTAGTACTATCTTTTAAAATCTATCTATTGCATCTAGTGCACTAGACTATCTGGGTTTGCATGTAGGCCAGGTTTATGATGAACAGCTTATGATTTTCGCTTAAGAAAACCAGGATTTTGAGGATTATACTTAATGAATGGATATATAGTTATTGGGGTTTGAAGGTGAAATAATGCCTATAAATAAGAAGAATTTTTGCTAGAATTTTCAGCAAATGATAGTAGAAAATCTACAAAAAATAGGTGCAGGGATGCAAAACACTTGTATATAATAGACACGCTATAAGAGTTGCTTAAATTTCAGGATTTTGGAATATGATTCAGAAAGGCTCAGCTTGCATTGAATTCAGTAAAAGAGACTTGTGCTGGACAATGAGAGACAGGTTTGCCAGTCCAAGAAAAGATTAGGAGATGGATGTGCAATAAACAAAACCTTGTCTTATTATATATATAAAACTGCTCAATTGATGGAGCCCTAAATACTTTCTAGCCTTTAGTTTGTCTCTGATGCATTGAGATATAGAAAAGATTTTTTTTTCCTTTTGTGGGGGTGGGGGTGGGGGGCAATGCTGTTGGCCCACACTTTGGGTAGTTTATGGTGATCCCACCATTTAGGATGGCAAAGAATGACTGACAACCAACAATCCAATTACCCCACAAAAATGAGATAAAAAAAAAAGGAGAAATCGTTTTACTGTTCTGGGGAAACTAAATGTTTGGAAATTGTTCTGGCTGTGGTTCTTTGAATAGGAAGAAGATATAGCTTGCAACAGATTTGGGTGGATAGACTTCCCTAGGCAAGAGGATTCACTGAAAAGCAGATGGGATAATAAGGTTTAAGAAGATAGTAAATATATCCACTTTTTAGTTCATTTACTGTCCCTCATTCCATTTCCATTATCTTAACTAAGCAAGAGGAAGGAAAAAGAGTTTCAACAGTCTTCCGCTATTTTCTTTCCCCATGTCCCTTTTTCCTTATCGTTAGCATAGTGTTTGTTTAAGAATAGAGAATGAATGTTGTTTCTTTTTGGGATAACCTGCCCTTATTGCATATGTTTGTAAGGCTTAAGAACATTCTTGGTCTGAAAAGTGAATATTTTCTTGTTGTTACTTGAAGCAAGCTGTACTTTTGAGCACGCCTAAAGCTCTTTCAATTTGAGTAATTTGAAAAAGATTAAATATGATATATGTTGGCACAAGTTTGGATCAATTGGATTATTCCTACTTATTTTACTATATTGTATTCACATTTGACAAGGCGCAAAGAGACAGAGAGAGAGAGAGAGAGAGAGAGAGGGGTATGGATATTAAACCTTTGATGTGATCCTTCATTGGAGGGTTAGGAACTACGATGTCAAGTCCAAGCTGTTGGATTATGCCATTTTATGTTTAACTTATTGATTCTTTAGGTTACATCTTGTGAAATAATTGATATACCCTTTAAAACAGTATCATCCAGATATGAATAAGAGTCCTGGTGCAGAAGAGAAGTTTAAAGAGATAAGTGCTGCATATGAGGTAAGTACTGTTGTTTTAAAATCTTTTCCTTTTAGTAGTGCATTGTTTTCACCTATGATGCATGGAAAAGTGTTGCATATGAGGTAAGTACTGTTGTTTTAAAATCTTTTTCTTTTAGTAGTGCATTGTTTTCACCTATGATGGTCAGACACTTCAAAAATGGAGTGCCCATGTTGACATGACATGGTCATCGACATGATATGCGATGTGTCTGACATGGCAAAATAACTTCAACACTTTGGCAGCAGAGAGTAGCTTGATGCTAGTTTCAATTTTTTTTTCTCAAATCTTGTTTTTGTTGGCTAGATGCTAGAAATAAAAAATAAAGAAAGAAGTCAAATGCCGGAAAAAGGAAGAAAAAGAAGATGGTCGGGAGAGAAATGGCAAGAAGAGAGAGAATGTAGAAGATAAGAGAGATGGGTGGTTGACTTAGGGTGTTGCTGGAAAGAGTGGAAGTAGGGAGTAGTGGTAGAAAGATGTTGTAGTGAAATGAGGGAGAACGAGGTAGAGGCCCTGCACAAAGAGACCAAATATGGAAAGAATTCACTCCTGAAAGCTTATGATTTTAAAGTTAGAGTTAAATGATGGTTTAGGCCTTTGAGCTTCCTATGGCCTAATAGGTTTTTAAGGGTTCAGGCTTTTAAACTCAAAAACCATTTTGAAAAATTATAAAGCCTATTTGCATATTAGTAGTTGAAAAGTCCACTTGTGATTCAAAGAAAAAGGAGTGTATTATAATATTCTTTCTCTTTTTCTAAAGGAAAAACCATTTCTATCCTTGTTCACATCTTCAATAAATTAATATGATCACTCAATCATTTATAATGAAGCAATCAAATATATATAATCAAATAAAATTGAATAAACATATCCTATTTTATTAAATTGATAATGAGTACCATCACCTGTATCCTACTTTCATCTTTTTTAACCATATCCCTGTATCTTCAATTTAAGGCAACTGATGAATCAGGCGCTTAGACACATATCTGGACCTGAGTCCAAGCAGCATAGGTTTTTATTTACTATGATAAATTTTTATTGTAAAATTTTGTTCATCTTCACTCTTTCTCTGATCTAATAGGGTTTTCTGCACTCAAGACTTTTTTCAGTTTCCAAAACTTTTGCATTGAGGCAGTAGATAAAGCACTGTAATTTTGTTGGATTCTATTGATAGTATTGCACTTATTGCACTTGTAATATATTCTTCTTTTCTATGTTGTCATAATGAAGAATTTATGTAGGTCCTATCAGATAATGCGAAAAGATCTTTATATGATCTCCATGGTGAGGCAGGTTTACAAGGAGGATATGATGGATCGGGTGGTGCTTCACCGGGGGTAAGATCATGGTGAATTCTACTTCTCTCTACAAGTATCAAATGACTTGTTTTATGTTCACTTGTAATCTCCTCTCATCTATCCCACCCTGCCCCTTTTTAATTTTTTGGGTTCAATGCATTGGGGGGGGGGGGGGGGGGGGGTTTGTGGTTATATGTGTGAAAGATTTTCTAATGCATGATTATACTTCATGTTTTATGATAGATCAATTTTCATGTTTAGGTTGATCCATTTGAAGTGTATAATGCATTCTTTGGCGGTTCACATGGGTTCTTCAGTGGAATGGATGAACCAGGAGGCTTTAACTTCGATTTTAGAAATAAAGGAAACAACGATCTTGACATTCGGTAACTATATACTTAGATGGTTGTTGTTGGCCATCACTTTTTAATACTGCCCTTTTTAGTCTGATATAAAAGTTACAGCCCATTTTCTTAGCAGTCAAAATATATTTTATAAGGTCAATCACATTTCACACGCATTCTAGTGGTGTGCAATTTGCTAAGAAGATTGATTATTGACTTTCAGAAATTAAATACTGCTCTAGTGAAGCTTGGAAGAGGTCAGGAATGGTGTGCATGAACTTGAGGCAACTCCTTATTGCAGTCCTTTTTATTTCAACTTCACTTTCATTTTAAATAAATGTTGTGGGCAAGAATAGGTTGGAGAAAACTAGTTATTCTACCAACTTGCTAGTTTCCTATGTATTTGTTTTGAAATATTAAGTACAAAAGGACATATGTGCCCGTTACCCTAATTACTGGACCATAAACATTTCTCCTCTTTGTTTTAGGCTTAAAGATTAATCTGCCTTTGCTTCTCTCTCTCTCTCTCTCTCCATGTTCAACAAAAAGTCAGTGTGCATCCTAAGGGTGTGTTTGGATGAAGTATTTGGAGGAGGGATTTTATTTCAATTAAGGTTTTTAAAATTCCAAAAATACATTTAGTTGTTTGGGTAAAAATAAGAGAGTTTCAAAATTTAAAAATTTTAAGAGGGAATTTGAGCACCACAAATTCTCTCTTGAAATTCCACCTAAAGAGGTGATTTTTCAAAATTCTTTCAAATCTCTTATATCTTTACCGCACATGGCCCACCATAAAATATTAAACTAGAAAATTGTTATTTTATTTAACTAATATATACATTTTTTAATTTTTTCATATTATTAGTAATATCTTTACATTTTTACAAATCTAATGATACTCATATTGCACATGTATATGTCGTTTTTTTATCTTTAATATCATTATTCTTCTTTTATTACTATTTTTATTTCATCAAATTCCAACAGACTAAATTTTCTTTTAAGAAATATTAACCCAAGCAAAGCAATTATAAATGCTAGCATTTTGAAATAATGCATTTTAAAATGCTTTAATTTCAAATTTCTTCAAAATTTGAAAATTCCTCATCCAATTGCACTATAAGCTTTTGTATGTTTCAATGTGCTTGAAGAGTTTTAGTTTCAGTTAATAGCTTGGGTCTTTGAAGAATATTTATGTGTTATTAATTGGCCGTGAAGTTTTTTTACACCTAATCATGTCGCAGTGTTTATATTGGCATCCATTGCATTGTTGACTATATGCATATACCCTATTGACTACAGGCAGGTGGTTTAAAAGAATAGTAAAGATGGTGGCAAAGGTGATTCTGGGTAACTTTTGAAAAATGCATCGTATTTTTAACTTATTTTATTTTTCCTAGTGACTAAACCATTGAATTATAATTAATTTAAGTCTTTTTTTTTTTTAATTTCGGTTCATTTTCTTGTTTGTCATATATCTTTGACACTCCACTGTTAGCACTGCCACTTAACACCCCCTCTGTCCATTACCATTGATGAAGCTACAGTGCTCCTCCATTCCTTGTTTCTTTCTCAAACCCAGACCATCAAAAACAACATAGTGGTTTCAACATCATAGTATCAAGCCCCATAATGACCTCTTTTCTTTCATGCTGCTGTCACCAATTTAGTCAGAACCACATCAACTTTTGAATCCCACGTCCAGACCATCAATGATTCAAGCCTAATTCTAAATATTTTCCCTAACCAATGAGCAAAATATTTTAGTTAGTTTAGAGGTCTGGCTTTTCAGACTCAAAAGAGGACAAGAACAGGGAGAAATAGACAGTAAAAACTAAACAAAGGGGATCACTGACCAACGTGGTCATTTTTGTTTATTACCGAAAAGCCTACAGGGAAAGGGGAAAATTATGCAAATTTGGTGCTTGTTGATGTTAATGGCCTGATCCAAATTTGGGTGCAATGGGTAGGTATTGCTTGAGAGGTTGCTCATATTTATTTCTTCTCTCAAGCCCAGTTCTTCATTAGTGAGGATTTCTTTGTTATCATAGGAGTTAGGATAGATAGGCAACCTGGAAATGAAATTTTTGAGGATGAGGATGGACCAAGGATGCTATTTTCTTTTTAATTAGAATAAGTTATTACTAAATCACAATGTTTGTTGAACATGGGATTAATTAGTGTGAATGAATTATACGGAAGGTTGCAGTAATAATGTTAATAATGAATTCTTTTGAGTTAAAATAATGACATGTTCCGCGTAAATTTAAAGATTGGATCTATTGAAACATGAATTTTGTTATCATGTTATGAACTGTACTGGTGTAAGTCAACCCTTTTCTACTGTTTAAGCCTTTATACTTTTTTTAAGCCTTTATGTTTAATGTGACTGTGTGAAGGAAATGAATATTTGTTTCATTTTTTAATTTTCAACTACAATATGTGCATAATAATGCGAAGAACGATGCTGCAAAACTGCCCTGTGAATTGACTAGTTAAATTGCTACTTGGCGTGCTTTCTGGATTTAACATAGGTCTAGGGAAGAGGGAACTGAACATAGGCAGGAAAGAATAAGGGAAGTGAAGGGGCCAAGAGTCTGAAAAGAAAGTGAGAAGGCAGAGAGATCAAATTTGTGAAAATATTCCAGAAATAAATAGGTAGTTGGGTTTCCCTACGTGAATTGTATATGCATGCAACAAGCTAAGTGATAGATTAGGCTCCACACGAATGTTGGGTTATGTTCTGTAGATATGTAAAAAGTTTGTAGAGTTGGGATGTACATGGTTAATCCTCAAAATTCTGGAGAAGTTGATGCATTTTGCATATAATGCCCTATACTTTCATACATGAGTAGTTATTTTCAGTTTTTAATTTTTTTTCTTTCTTATTATGCTTAAAATATAACTTAATTCTGTTGAGTCAAATTTATTATTCACTACCTCATACAAAATATATTTAGTATCTTCTTTTTACCAGAAAGGGTAAATTTTTTGTTACGAAGGTCCATGTGGTAATTTGATGCAATCTGTAGAGTAATTTGTGAAAATGGTATGACCTAATCAAAAGCACGACACTTTTAGCTGGTCAAGAGAGTACATGCAATTAGCAATGACAAGATTAATTAAGAAAACAAGCAGATGTTGCAACTGTACAAAAGTGCAGTTTTGGATCCCTCTTCACCTTCCACTCTGTCTCTCTATCTCTTTTCTGTAATTTTGTAGTTCTGTTATTTTAGTTTGTTGGCATTTTCTTGGGTTCATTGGAGAACATGTCTGCTTGTTGATAAATGTAATATTGCTAGGAAAATTGTCTTGTATAAAGGTATGTTACCCAAAATAATGTCAATGTGAAATTGGAATCAGTGATGAGTAACTAACTAAAATTGTAATCCAAAGAGTGGAAATCAATAACAAAGTAAAAGAACAGACCAAGCCTTTTCCTCTACATGGTTCAGTTACAAGGATCATATTTTGTAGTTGTGTTTTATTTTGGACTATCCAAAGACTAGAAATCAATAACAAAGTAAAAGAACAGACCAAACCTTTTCCTCTACATGGTTCAGTTACATGGATCATATTTTATAATTGTGTTTTATTTTGGACTATCTCCTTAAGTATGCTAAATAAAAATTGTTTTTTTCACCCTTATTCTCTTTGCTCTTCACTCTTGACATGGTATCTTCTTTAAGTTGCCTATTGAAAGAGTTTTTGTGGGTCTTCTCCTTGCATCTCTAAATTTTGTCAAACATTTCTTATTTTGTCCTTGAGATGGAACCCTTGATTTCTTTTTGCACACATGCCTGATTTTATCTTCCCTTATACTCCCATTGATGCAAGACATTTACGAGCTTAAGGTTTATGGCAAATTTCTATCTGAATTTATAAGAATAACAAGGAAAATTTAACCAAAAAAAATAGAAGAAGAGAAAAGATACCTAAGCTTCACACCTAGGGTTCCTGTAGGAGTCACGACCAAAGGTTGATTGCATCAGACAATCAATTAGAAAGAAAAGATATAAAGCTTCACACTTAGAGTTCTTTAGGAGTCACACCTAAAGTTGATTGCATCAAACAATCATAATAGCAACAATGCTGGAAATTCTCTTCCAATATTCTATATTCACAATAGAAATAGTACATTGGGTTATAGAAACTCCTACCGACCCTTATCCTAGAAGAACTAGAACCATTCCTAGTAGAACTTTAAGAAAATGCTTAGACTGCAAATAGAGAACCACCAAGCTTAAGTTCAACACAACATTATAGGGTAAATGAACTGCAAACTAAGATCATAAACTGTAATATAAATGTAAAGTTATTAATATAACCCTAAATCTATAAAATATTACAATTAAAAAGGAGCTATAACCCATATTTTTCCCTTTTAATTGTTTTTTATCTGTATTGATTTGGTGCACAACTGACTTTTGGGTACATAATTCTCATTTTCTAACTTTGAATTTCATAATATTGTAGGTTTGACCTTCATTTGAACTTTGAAGAATCTGTGTTTGGAGGAGAGCATGAAATTAACTTCTCCTGTCTTGAAACATGTGATGATTGTGGTGGAACAGGTGCTAAATGTAGTAGTTGCATAAAATCATGCAGTGGCTGTGGAGGTAGAGGAGTGGTAATGAAATCTCAAAGGACTCCATTTGGAATGGTATCACAGGTATTTTAACATCAACATTAAAGTGATTGATGATGCAATAGTTGCTGATTCTTCAATTTTTCTTGTTTCTAAATTGTTTTTTTTCTATTGTTGATTTTCTTGCCAACTTATGCAGGGAACTATAGTAGTTTTGTACCTGACAATCTACATACTTACTAACTGTAGAACTTGAGTTCATAGGTTAAATTCATGATGCCTATTGAGCTCATTGGGTGCCAAAACTCAAGACTTCTACTTGAATTTGGCAATCCATTTAAAGTGGGAAAGAAGAACAAGAATCATTGAGGTTGAATCAGGATTGTGACACATGCAGAGAATTGGTTTGCCACAACCCATCCTCCCCCCCCCCCCCCCCCCCCCTATTTTTCCATTTAAATCTTTGGCTCCTATTGTCCAATAAAAACAAGAAAATTGATTTCACCCTTTCTCTCCTTTTCTGCCTTTGTGCAAATGTTGAGAGACAGGTTGAAAGGAGATGGAAAAATAAAAGAAGAGATGGGGGAACCAGAGGGGGAGAGGAAAGGATAAAGGGATTCCTTCATTATAATCGGCATTAGCTATGAAGGTGATGGGGAGAGAGAGTGAATAAAGCATGTTCTAGTTCTTTTTGGCAAGGAAATTTTTGTGCATCCATATCATAAGAAATAGCATGATTCGGTAGGAAAAAGAAAAGAAGACATACAAAAAAGTTTAAAAGGAAGCAAAATTTAAAGAAAAGGAATTTGAAGGAAAGAACAAAGGGCTGTCACTTCTTGGTGCCAATTAGTGCTTGGTGATAAAAGACGAATGGAGAAGAAGAGGAATAAAGAAAAAAGAAAATAGAAGAAGAAAATGAGGAAAAAAGTGTTTTCCCAGTAGGTGGCAGTTTTGAATAGTGTTTTGTAGGATATTCAAGGAAAGCAATAAGCTTTTAGAATTAAAAGTGTGAAATCGGGTAGAGAAAAGAGTTGAGATGATATTTACCAAGCAAAACTAGGTAGATGATAGGCAATGCACTAGTGCTGGATTGGACTTCCCTTGTCCTACATCTACTGCCTCAAGAATCCTCAAAATCATACAACATGAAAAATAGCAACGTTTCTACTGAAGCCTTTTTACAACCAATTTGTTTTGAGCTTAAAAGCCCTTAATACCAGTCCCTTCTGGTGATCTTCTGCATTGCAAAGCAAGTCTCCAGTATGATAAAGTGTTTATGGTCACTAATATTTGATGAGACCATATCTGTACTGCTCTACAATTCTTAACAAAATTCGAAACAATGACACCCAATGCAAGCTGTATGCCTGAAGTAAAAGTTAAAAATCTTTTCTATTAATGTTTATTTTACTTCTTGTCTTTCTTCATTGATTAATCCCTTTTACAGTTAGTCCTCAAAAAGTAGCTTCTGGACTGTAAAAGATTTGTTAAAATCATGAAAAAAATTCCAACCATCTAGTTGTCTAACTTGCTAAAGAGAGACTAGTCGATTATCTAGAAAGGTGGGGCTTCTCCTTTGTCTAAAATTTGCTTTTGAATTAAAAATAAATCTTGGTTCATTTGGTTTAACATTAGCCAATTAGTATTTAGTTTTCTTAAACTTGACCATTGTATTTTGTTCAATAATAGTAGTAGCCCAAAATTTTGTCTCCTTAGAAGTTAGTGAATGAAAAAAGTTACTTAATAATCCTCATGAATTAAAAAATAATTAATACCTCAATTGATATGCTGGATAGCTATTATCTCCTTTTACATATCATGTGCTAATGCTGTAATTTTATTATTATTTATTTTAATTGCCAATGTCTTTTTTTTTTTGGGTGACATTATTGGAAGACATATCCATGTAACCATATCCTATGTAGGACTCTTTAGCAGATTATGTGATTTCAAAACTTTTGAGTGAAAGGCAAGTCGAATGCTTAGCCGTATCAGATACGTGTACCCTACATGTTACATAGCTTGATACTTGATAAGGTTAATCAATGTGGATGTTCTTTTGAATCTCCAATATAAATTTTTATTGAATTCATTTTTGATCTGCCAGTGTTTTGGGCATAATACCATAAGGATGTAGACCTTATGGATGAATACTAGAAAATAATGTCATTATATTCATTAGAGTGGAAATCAAAGGACTTTGTGGAATTTGCAAGTTAATGGCTATCTGGTGAAGCTACGAATTGAAACAGTCATGCGAGACTAATTTTACTTGAAGTACAATGCATTTAGTGTTTTTGTATTTTCTATCATCTTGGTGATTCCTTTATCCTGTCTTTGAGAGGGAGAGGAGAGTCAAGGAGAGGAATGGAGGGACAGATGAGAAGTGAAGAGTGCTATCCCGGATCTTATTGGGGTTCAATGAAGAGAAAGGAGAAGGTTTTATCTTAATTGTACTTCTTCAGTAATTGTCTAGGAGGAATTTAGTAATCCTCTAAAGAAGGGTTCAGTTATTTGAATGTGTTAAATGTAACAGAGATTATTTGTTCTGGTTGCCTTTGGATGTAGAATATCTTTCTTTCAAGTTTATCATTTTCAAAAGTTGACAGTCTACACATCTGGGTTCAAGGTTTGCTTTAAAATATTTTTGGGATGATTAGCAAACAGTTGAGAGGGTGTGATATGGAAGTTATGATTTCCATTATGTGAATGAAGGCCAAGCAATGGTTTGTAACAGAAACACTATACCTCCAAATTGATTATTCCTAAAGGCAGCAAGTTATCTTTTTGGTAATAACATGATGCAGTTTGTGTACGTCTAAACTCATAAGCCTTCCCCTTCTTGCTTTGAGACTTAAATAGATGTTTGCCTTTTCTATTTTACCATTTTGTTTAAGATTTAAATAATCTTATCCATTCTTACTTCCCATGAGTTTTATATTTATGCTAGCCCCATTATGGTTGTTGACATGCATATGCTTCATAGGTTTATAGCTAAGGATGTTTAGCCCAGTTAAAGCTAATAACATTTTCGTGTTGAACATTTTCTGTCTAAATGCAAAATTATAATTAGTAAGCACAAATGCAATTGTTTAACAATATGTTAGTTGACCCTCCTATAATTTTAATTTTAGAATTCAGTCCCTATTTTTTGCATATGTTCTATAGATAATATGATATGTTTTCTAGGTTTCTACTTGCTCAAGCTGTGGTGGTAATGGCAAGATAATCACTGATCATTGTCGAAGATGTAGTGGCAGCTGTAAAGTAAAGGTGAAACGAAGTATGAGAGTTACCATACCCCCTGGTGTTAGCAATGGTTCCATAATGAGAATACAAGGAGAGGGCAATTCTGATAAGAAAAGGTAAGTAATCTAGTTGAGATTCTCTTTGAGTTGAATTTTTTATTACAAGCGTGGTCTTTGGATATAGAGACTTGTCTTTATTTGGATAAATTCATTTGGAGATCTGAAGTTGGGTGAGTCAACTCTAGATTTTTAATGTGATTTTCTGGTTTCTGCTATGTAATGGGCTAAATAGCACCCAAATTGAGTATAATTGATCTTAGGGATAGAATTGAGTGAAGTGGAAAGCAATATGACTAAGTAAAGCATGTAGGTTCTCTTTTGTTAAAGAGGGTATTTTTGTTGTGGGTAAAAACAGCTATATTTTTTCTTTCTTTTTTTTTTTGGAACTATTCAAGCTCATGAAGCTTTTTCGTCAATATTGATGTAAATGACTCTCTCCTCTTTATTGTTTTCTGTCATTTTTTTAATTTCTTGTTCATCTTTTCATTTGTTTTCACTGTTATCCAAGAGTAACACTATAAAAGTTGTAGGTGAGTGCTCTGACATACGGCTTTTTGTTAATCTTTTTAATGCAATATGGCTCCTAAGCCGTTACATTCTTAGTACAGAGAAAAAAAAAAGATTCAGGTTGAGATTTGGGCATCTTATTTTTTTTTCCATAGTCATATTTTTCTTTTGAAAATCTTAATGATTTAATTTCTTTTCTCACCTTTGTTTCATCTTATAGATTTTGGTTAGAATGTTTTATACCAGGTAAACTTTTATTGTACGATAATAGAACCACTTCTTTCTCTTGCTCTCTAGGGGATTAGATGGTGATCTCTTCATAGTCCTCCATATAGGTGAAAAGCAAGGAATTTGGAGGGATGGCCTTAATCTTTACTCAAAGATCAATATTGACTACACCGAGGCAATACTCGGGACAGTGGTGAAGGTACTACGTTGTCTCTTTCTTACCTCCTATTCATCTAATCATCAACCTTGATGCATGTGGCTGGTATATTAAAAAAAATGAATGTATCAGGCAAAGCATTTCAATTCCTTGTAAGGTGAAGGATAAGCTTTTTCTTGGAGTCTTTTTTTTTTAATTAAAAATATTGAAAACAGAGATAAAATACAATGTTCTCTGAGTATTATTTTATTAAAAAGAATCCAAATATATAGAGGAATTGATATGTACAAAGAAACCCACGAAATCAGGACCTAATCATCCACACATGAAAACAAATAAAAGACCAAAAATATATATCCCAACAAATCAGCAATTTGATCCTGATTTGATGCATAATCTGTCAACACTCCCCCTCAAGTTAGAGAATAGATATTTATCATTCTCAGCTTGTCAACAAGAGTCTCAAAGCTTGGTTTATGTAGTCTCTTTGTTAGGATATTTGCTACTTGTTGCTTTGTAGGAACATAGGTCATATAGATCTCTCCCATATCAATCTTCTCTTTGATAAAATGCCTATCAACTTTCACATGCATCGTTCGATCATGATGCACCGGATTATGAGCAATACTTATAACAGCCTTGTTATCACACTACAGTTTCATAAGGTATTCAGCTATCATTTTCAATTCTCCCAAAAGTCTCTTCAATCAAATAAGTTCACAAGTTCCTTGTGCAAGAGCTTTAAATTCTGCTTCTGCACTGCTTTGAGCAACAACAAACTATTTCTTGCTCCTCCATGTGACAAGATTACCTCAAACCTTTGTACAGGATTTTCTGTCTTCAGTTGATCCTGCCCAATCTGCATTTGTAAATGCTTCCACATTTCTTTGTTCATTCTTCTCAAATAACAAACCTTTACCTAGTGTGGCCTTCAAATGCCTTAAGATTCGATACACAGCTTCAAGATTCTCCTCAAATGGAGAGTGCATGTATTGAGTTACTACAATAACTGCAAAGGCAATATCAGGTTTGTATGAGACAAGTAGATCAGTTTTCCAACCACTCGTTAATCTGTCCTCCTATCTACTAGAATTCCTCCTTTTCTTTCCAAGTTTCACATTAGGATCTATCGGTGTATCAGCTGGTTTATAGCCAAGCATACTAGTTTTCTTCAAGAGATCAACCGTATATTTCTTTTGGGAAACAATAATGCCGTTCTTGCTCGTTGCAACTTCAATCCCTAAAATGTATTTTAGTTGTCCAAGATCCGTAAGTTCAAATTCTTTTCCAAGAGTTTTCTTTAGCGTCTTTATTTCTTCAATGTCATCACCTGTCAATATAATATCATCAACATAAATGATCAAAATTGTCTTTTTTCAATGTTGTGAGTGTTTGAAAAAAAGAGTATGATTAGTTTGTCCTTGGCTAAATCCATGTTTCCTTACTGATTTTGCAAAGCGATTGAACCAAGCCTTTGGTGATTGTTTTAAACCATAGATAGACTTCTTCAGTTTGCATACCTTCCTATCATTGTTTCCCCTTTCAAAGCTAGGAGGCAAATCCATATAATCTTCTTCATCCAGCTCCCCATTAAGAAAGGCATTCTTGACATTCATTTGGTGTAATGGCCGGTCAAGATTAACAGCTAGTGAAAGCAGTACCCTTATAATATTCAATTTAGCAATTGGAGCAAAGGTTTCAGTGTAGTTTACTCCAAAAGTTTGAGTATATCCCTTCGCAAATAAGCAGGCCTTATGTCTCTCTATTCCACCATCTGAATTATACTTAATAGCAAACACCCACTTACATCCAACTAGTGTTTTTCCTCTAGGTAACTCCACAATATCCCAAGTCTCATTCCCTTTCAATGCTCTCAACTTTTCAAGCACAGCAGCATCCCATTCTGAGATTTTTAGAGCTTCATGAATATTTTGTGGGATTTTAGTTACCTCAATCTTTTATCTCATGGCACGAAATGCCGTAGACAAACAACTATAGGATAGATAATTGGACAATGAGTGTTGAGTGTACGATCTTACACCTTTCTCGAGTGCTATAGGTATGTCTAGAATGTCAGGTGGAGTATTCACTAGTGATGGTGTGGTAGGCATAACCTTTTGTAATTCAGAATCTTGTGGATTGATATTCACTGGTGATGGTGTTGTAGGCTCAGCATTTTTTGATTCAGAATTTACTTACGGATCAGATTCTTGACAATGCGGCTAGGGCACAAAAGTTTGTACTTCCCGAGGTTGTTTTTACCTCGTGAATAAACATGGAGCTCTGTTTTTTATTGAGGATTAAGCATAGATGAATTTGTCCCTATTTGCAACTTAGCTTCTGTTGGTGACATAATAGGAACAGCAGATGTTACAAGAAATGGATTGGAAAAATCCCAAAGCCTATCTTCACCTAGTATCTCCCCTTAAAGAGTTGGTTTTGGGTAAAAGGGTTGATTTTCAAAGAATGTGATATCCAATGAGACAAATGTTTGTTTCGTGGATGGACAATAGCACTTATACCCTTTTTGAGTAGGAAAGTGCCTAATAAAGATACATTTTATGGCTCTAGGTTCTAGTTTCCCATGAGATGAACTTTTGTTGTGAACAAAAAATGCGCAACCAAAGACTTTTGGGGGTAAAAAAGTAAACAACCTAGTTTGTGAATATGATTCAAGTAACATGTTCAATGGGGTTTTGAAATTGAGAACTCTACTAGGGAAGTCTATTGATCAAGTATAAGGCTGTTAAAATAGCATCCCCAAAAAAACTTAGGAACATTATTGGTAAACATGATCACACAAACAACTTCTAATAGGTGGCGATTTTTACGTTTTGCAACCCCATTTTGTTGGGAGGTGTTAACATAAGAACTTTGGTGAAAAATCCCATTTTCTTTTCGATAATCACCAAGAATTGAATTGAAGTATTCCCTCCCATTGTTTGTGCGAAAAATTTGGATTTGGGCTTAAAATTGTGTTTGAATCATTTTGTGCAATAGCTAAAAAATTGCCTTAGCATCATACTTGTCTTTTAATAAGTAAACCCAACAAGCTCGTGTGTGATCATCTATAAAAATCATGAACCACCTAGTTCCAGTTATGTTGTTTTCTTGTGAAGGTCCCTAAATATCACTATGAACTAAAGAAAAGGGTATAGAAAATCTATATAGATGACTAGGATAAGGAACATGAGTGTGTTTGGCAAGTTGACAAGTTTCACAACGAAAGGAATAGGACATCCTTATTCTTAAAAAGAGAAAGAAAAAGAGTTTTTAGATGGAAAACTAGGACGTCCTAATCTATTGTGCCATAACATAATTTCAAAGAGCTAGAAACAGATTCACCACTTAGAGCCAAAGCTTGTTTATTCACTTGTTGTAGATCCTCAAAGTAGTACAAGCCTTCATGCTCCTTAGCATTGCCAATTATCCTCATCGAAAGTAAATCTTGAAACTTACAATATGAAGGATAGAACTTAGCCACACAATTCAAGTCCTTTGTCAATTTACTAATAGACACTAAGTTACATGCTAAATTAGGAACATGCAAAACTGAAAATAGTGTCATATTAGAAACTTTAATGTTTCCTTTTTCCAGCAATAGAGGGTAGTGATCCATCAGCAATACAAATCTTAAGGTTTCTAGAACATGGATTATATGTTGAAAACAATTCATGGCATCCAGTCATATGGTCGGATGCCCTAAAATCTATAATCCAAGACTTCTTAGAATCTGATTTTGCACCCAAAGCATAGAGATAGTTACCTTTCTGTGCAATTGTGCACTTTGGAGTAAATGCAGTAATTGGTTCAGAAGTCATCTCTAATCTACTCTCTTGAGAGGCACCAGTTATGGTTGTTTTGGCCATTAGAAAAGAAAAAACAAGAGCAAACCTTGCACTGATATCATGAAAACAGAGATAAAAAACAATGTTCTCTGAGTATAATTTTATTAAAAAGAATCCCCAAATATATAGAGGAATTGATATCTACAAAAAAACCCATAAAATCAGGACGCAATCATCCAAACATAGAAACAAATAAATGACCCAAAATATATATCCCAACAAATTAGGAAATTGATCTGGATTTCATACATAATCTATCAACAAATATATTAGAAAGAATTAATATAGTAAAAATCTTTGCGTAGAGCATTATCCCAAATTGAATATACAATTTTCCACAAATTGATAAATTAGTTTATTAAAGGTTGTACAACATAAGTTCAGAAAGTGAACACACAATCATCCCACAGACTAAACATTAAAAGGAAATACTTGTACTAAAAATCAATAAAAAAAATAAGCTTCAATTTGAAAGGTCCATTTGTTTCAACCAAAAACAACTTTTGGAAAATAAAATTTTTCCTTAAAAGATATTTTCCAAAAAAAATTCATTTTCCATTTTTAGGATGGTTTTAGAGAAAATTAATTTATGGTGCTTGTTTCAAATGAAAAACACCCAACATGTTCTTACTTCCTATGTCTCTGCCTCAATCCACATGAAACAGCGGTCCACCAAAATGATGCCACTGATGATGAAGAGAATGTGAAGTAGCTCAAGGAATGCTCTGTTCTGTACTTATCCTTGCAAGTAAATAAAATCTTTGTCTAGGGTATGCTTATGAATTTCTTGATTTTTTTTTTTTTTAAAAAACTAGTTGGAAAACTTGGCTCTTGCCCAAAACAAAAAGTCACAGATAAACAAACATAAAGGGAGCTCTCTACAGTATCTATGCTACCTGCAAGTTCCTGTGGCCCATAGCTCACCGATTTCATCATCCTCTTCACCGTTTTGGAAAAGACCAAATTTTTGCTTTTTTTTTTTATAGAGGTTCAAGCTTTGAAGGCATGCAATGAGAGGAGGAATAATAGCAAAGGGAGGTGAAGTTTTCATATCATAAGAACGTGGAAAATTACCTCAACAATTCACAAATTCTAAGCGAATTTTATGTTGATCTGTTGGTATTGCTTCAGTGGTTGTCATCAGTTGCTTTAGTGTTGGCCACCGGTGTTGGGTTGTGAGTTTGTTGGGTTTGTGAGTGTTTCTAGCCTGTTTTTTTAGGGATCTCAAAAAGGGAAGATAAATGAGATGAGTTGAGGAAATTGTCTTCCTGATTTTCAGTGCGCAAGACATTTTCCTTAAAATTGGCACTATTTGCCTTTGACTGGAAAATATTTTTTTGGTTGACTTGATCATTTTTTGATATTCAAACATGGGAAAATGCTGAAAATAACTTTCGAAAATCATTTTTCATTGAAATGAACAAAGTTGTAAAATGCTAAAATTATATTTTTATTAACCCCTTATAAGTTTTAACTAAGTATGTTAGAACCATAAATAAACCCACAAAACAATGGCACGAATGTGTTTAAAGTCCTCAACCTACTTTTTCTAGAAGTTCTATATGATGCTTTATTCTTAACATATATCAATAATTCCTTTCAAATTATGAAATAAGTAGAAAGCAAAGGAAAAATCATGAGTTTTAAATAATGCTTGAAGATGATAGCTATATGCCATTTTCAACAATGGTTGGAATAGATTTAAATTCCTCTAGCTTTTGATTCTAGAAGCCCCATTTGATGCTTTATTCTTAACATAGATCAATAACTCCATCTAAATTATGAAATAAGTAGAAAGGAAAGGAAAAAGGCATGAGTTATTGAAGAAATCTCTAGAATAAAACTGTTTTATTCTTTTATATTTTTTCTTATTACAATACTAGAATTGCATGAAAATATATAGGCTAAAGACTAAATATTCTCAGCCTTAAAACCCAAGATTTTCATGTATTAAAGCAGCTAATCAAATGAGTAATTTTCTCTCTACACATAATAGGAAAATATCTAATGGATTTGGTGTAATTACGCAAATCATTCCTTATTCTAAAAATAAGAGACTTAACTAAAATAAAAAGTCAATCAATCGAGTAATAATGAAGATTAGATTTCCACACTCCCTCAAGCTCGGTGGTAGATGTCAATCATGCCCAACTTGGACTTCAAGTTCTCAAAATTGTTTTGAGAGAGAGGTTTAGTGAATACGTTTGCAATTTGGAGGCATGTGGGAGTATAAACTAATCTAACTATTCCTTCCTCTATCTTCTTTTTGATGAAATGACGATCAATCTCTACATGTTTAGTCCTATCATGATGAATAGGATTCTTTGCTATATTTATGGCAGCTTTGTTGTCGCAAAATATCTTCATGGATTCTTCTGCAAAAACCTTTAACCCCCGTAGCAACATTTTTAGTCAAATTCCCTCACATATGCTATGAGACATAGCTCTAAACTCAGCTTCCGCACTACTTCTAGCCATTACAGATTGCTTCTTGCTTCGCCAAGGAACCAAATTTTCCCACACATAGGTACAATAACCAGCAGTTAATCTTCGGTCAGTAACAGATCCAGCCCAATCAGCATCAGTGTAAATTTCAACATTTTAGCATGATGTCTTCTTAAAAAATAACCCTTTACCAGGACTCTTCTTTAGATACTGTAAGATTCGATACACAGCCCTTAAGTGTTCCTTGGTTGGATTGTTCATGAATCTGCTTACCATGCTAATTTTAAAACTAATATCTGGTCTTTTATGAGAGAGGTAGATCAGTTTCCCAACAAGTCTTTGTTGCCCTTATCTGTTGGTGGACTTCCTTATTCCATTCCTACCTTATTCATTATGTCTATAGGGGTTTCAGCAGGTTTGCATCCAAGCATTTGAGTTTCCTTTAATCTAGGATATACTTACGTTGTGAAACAACGATGCCATTCCTTGAGCGAGCTACCTCCATGCCAAGAAAATATTTGAGTTGTTCCGAATCTTTGATTTCAAATTCTTTGGCTAAGAGGTTCTTTAGGTTGTTAATTTCTTCCACATGGTTTCCAATAAGAATAATGTCATCCACATAGACAATAAGAATGGGTATTTTTCCTTAAGGTGAATGTTTGACAAACATGGTGTGATCGGTCTGGCATTGTGAAAAACCATACTTCTATATTGCTTTTGTTAGTCTATCACACCATACACGTAGGGATTGTTTGAGACCATATAAAAACTTTTGAAGTTTACATACCTTGCTAGAATTGTCCCGGTTTTTTAATCCTAGAGGGATTTCTATATAAACTTCTTTTTCTAGGTCACCATTAAGAAATACATTTTTGACATCTAGTTGGAGTGGCCAATCTAGATTTGTTGCCAATGATAATAACACCTAGATTGAGTTAAGTTTAGCAATTGAAGCAAATGTCTCCTCATAGTCAACACCATAAGATTGAGTAAATCCTTTTGCAACAAGGCGAGCTTTGAATCTGTTAATACTTCCATCTACATTGTGCTTGACAATAAAGATACATTTGCACCCAATTGGATTTTTCCCTTTGGGTAATTATGAAATCTCTCATGTTTTGTTCTTTTCTAGGGCATTGATTTCTTCCAAAACAGCCATCTTCCATTTTGGTTGCACGAGTGCTTCATGAATATTATTGGGAATCTGCATATTGTTTAGTGTGGTAACAAAAGCCTGATAACTAGGTGATAAACCTTCATAAGAAACCACATTACAAATTAGGTGTTGAGTACATGATCTCACACCTTTCCTTAGAGCAATCGGTTGATCAAGATCATCAAAAAATTCAATTAAATCAGATTCAGTAAGAGTGTTACTTGCGTTGGTTTCAAGTATCTCTGGAATCGGTTCAGATTCTTGGTTTTGCTTTTAAGGTATACATTCTCCTAGATCTTTTTGAGTTTTATGTCTTCTTAAATGGACAATCAACTCTTTGTTTGTTTTCCCTTGTGTGGACTTAGGGCTTGGATGTTTTGGACTTGAAAGGGAGTTGGAGAAGTGTTTGGTGGTTCAGTAATAAGATCTTCCCAAAGCTGATATTTTTGTGTGATTGAATTCTCCCCCTGAATGGCTGTTTTGGGAAAGTAAGGTTGATTTTCAAAAAAGGTAACATTCATGGAATGGTAGAATTTCTTTGTTACTGGTGAGTAACACTTGTATCCTTTTTTATTTGGGGAGTATCTGAGAAGTACGCATTTGCTGGATTTGGGATTTAATTTGCTTTGGTTTTGTTGGCTGGTAAGAACAAGTGTAGTGCATCCAAACACTTTAATGGGAATAGACAAGATGATTCAAAGGTGAGGATAGGAACTGAGAAGAGATTGGCAAAGGGTTTGAAATTGCAGGACTCGAGAAGGCATTCTGTTTATAAGATATATAGCGGTAAGAATAGCCTCACCCCAAAAATACTTAGATACATGAGCAGCCATCATGAGGGATACAACTTCCAACAAATGTTGATTCTTTCTTTCAGCAACACCATTATGTTGAGGAGTATCGACACTTGAGCTTTGATGAATTATACCATGCTTCATTAGATATAATCCAAGGATTGAATTGTAGTATTCTCTCCCATTGTTGGTTCTCAACATTTGGATTTTGGTTTGGAATAGTTGGCCCACTTATGATTTTTCCTTCATAAGAATACCCAAGTAAACTTGGTGTGATCATCAATGAATGTGACAAACCATCTGGAACCAGTAATGTTATTTACTTTGGAAGGACCCCAAATGTTATAGTGTATCATTGAAAAAGGATGGGATGATTTGTATGGTTGGTTAGGATATGTGGTATGGGTATGTTTGGATAGTTCGCAGACTTCATACTAAAATTTGTTAGGATTTTTATTAAATAATGAGGGAAACAACATTTTGAGGTCCAAAAAGTTTGGATGACCTAACTGATAGTGCCACAACATGATATTACTATCTATATTATTACTAGAGGATGAAGGCACACAAGAGGTCTTCTGATATTGTCTATCAGAATTGTTAGCTCTTAGAATATAGAGTCCTGCATACATCTTAGCATTGCCAAGTATCTTTCTCGAGTTCAAGTCTTGAAATTCACATATATTTGGAAGAAATTTAGTAACACACTTAAGGTCTCTTGTAAGTTTGCTTATAAACAGTAGATTGCAACTAAGATTTGGGACAAATAGAAAAGAATCAAGTGTTATCTCTTTGAAAATAATAACAAAACTTGTATTGGCCACTTTTGAAAATGACTCATCAACAATTCGAACTGTGAAGTTTTCATGATATGGGTTGTATTTACTGAATATAGATGCATCCCCAGTCATAGAGTCTGAAGCTTTTGAATTCACAATCCATGAATTTGATTTCTCTAGCTTTACACTCAAGGCACTTAGAAAATTACTTTTTTGTGCAAAAGAACCTATTTCAACTCAAAATTAGGGGGCTAGAACCAACTGTTTTGCTTTCGATAGTTGTTAAGCATCCAACTCAAAATTAAATTGACTCAAAATTAAATTGGCTATAGGTGGAATAAGTGGATAGGCCCAACTGAATATAGAGCCACAAAAAAAAATCCGGGAAACTTTAGTGGGATAGTAATACTTGAGGACTTTCTCTCAAGTATTGGTCTACTAGAAAGTCTAATATAAAGTAACTTAAAAATTGGGGCTGCAATGACAATGAGGTAACAAACTACTCGAGTTTTGATATCATGTTAGACATCCAATTTAAAATGACATGGCAATTGTGGGAGAGACCTACTTGAATACGAGGCCGCAATAGACTCAAAACTAAAAATGTAGGATAAAACCACTTAAAAAGTACTTCCTTTTGGATATATTTGAGTTCATATTAAGCACTTGGAATTTTTGAGCTCATATCAAGTAGCCTAAACCTAAGCATGTATTTATTTATTTTTTAGTTTAACTTAGGTTTGTGAGTGAGCAAGCTCATTATAAATTTAAACCTTTCTGGTCTTGAATTTTGTGTGTGTCTGAGATCTTTTCTGATCTTTAATTTCTAACCATTAATCTTAAAATCACTTCAGGTGGAAACCGTTGAAGGTATTAAAGATCTTCAAATCCCCTCCGGGATTCAGCCTGGTGATAGAGTGAAACTTTCATGTCTGGGAATTCCAGATATCAATAAACCTTCAGTTAGAGGTGATCATCACTTTATTGTGAATGTTCTGATCCCAAAAGATATCAGGTATTTATCTGGTAATACCAGCTTACCCCTTCATGCATCTTTAAAAGTTACAAGTGCAGTAGTTTAGTTTCAATGGACAATGTTTCTAAATTTCTTTTCACTCCAGAAGAGGTGTTGAGATAACCTTATTATTGAGACCTAGTTCTGTAGTTACAAATGGGGACCTGTGAAAATTTTGTTTGTTACGCGATTAACATTGACATTAAACCTTGGAAAGCTTGCTTTGGGAGATTACGTTGAAATGAGGTGATTGTGACATAGAACAGGAGGAAAAAGAGATAACTTGGACAATTAGAATTAGAGAGGAGCAGAAGAAATTGGGAAGAAAGAAGAATAAGGGTGAGAAAACCAGAATAATAAACAGAGGAGAAACATTGCAATACTCAATTTTGTTTGTCATCCAAAACCTACCCGAAACTGAAATAACTAAAGTATTTAATGACCCAAACCAAAATCCTAATAACAACACATACTACCAAATATAATCTTGATCAAAAGTAACTCTATGATATAAAAACCTAAGAGATTCTCCACCAGATTTTGAAAATACCTATATTGTTTTTCTTTTCTTTTTTGGTTAAAATAATAAAAAAGCTCTTGAACTTTACTACTTTATTTAAATAAGTCCCGATATTTTTATTGTACTCAAATAAGCTTTTAACCTTTAATTTGTACCTAAATAAGCCCTTAACATTATACATAATGCATGTAAGACATTAGTTTCTCACGATCATAAATGCTTGAAGTAAAACTTTAACTTATATAAAGAGTCAATTTTTACATGATTAAAGAGAACTAAAAAAAATTGTAGTAATTAGTTTGAAATAAGGTCTTATTCACAAATCAAAATAAAAGAGCTTATTTGGGTGCAATAAAAGTATAAGGGTTTATCTAAGTAAAATGTTGAAGTTCTAGGGCATTTTTAATATTTTACCCTTCTTCTTTTCATATAAAAGCAAGGCAAGCTCATGAATCTCATTCAGCTGAGGATTGTTTACTGGAAAAAGCATGAATTTCTGAATGAAGTAGCATATTAGGTAGCACGTAGATGTAACAAATAGTCTCAAATTGTCAGTTTATGCTAGTCCACTTATGTTCATGGTGTGAACTGTTACTCTACTGCCTTTAGATCCCAATAACAGTTAATTGATGAGATGAGGTCATAAAATTTCTTTTTTAAGATCTTTAGTGTCTGTACTATGCTGATGGATCAACAAGCTGGAAAAAACTTTAACATGATCAGAAATTTGAATCTACACACCACATGAACTTTTCCTACACTTCTAGATAAAGAGCTTTCTCACTTGATAGGATTCAATCAGCGCATCCTTTGCGCTACTCAATAGAAACCATTTATTGTGGATGTAAGAGTTTATTTTTACTACTTTACTGGAGCACATCTCTCACCTAGAGTTTGCAGTGTTTCTCTGATATCCTAATGTCTAATTATGTCCCTAAAACCTTCCCATGAACTACACTTCTCTTTTTTGTTTTAGGACCAATTGCAGAAAAAAGGAATATTTCCTTCTGTTTCTGGCCTTGTAGATATGAAATCTAGGAGCCTGCAATGCTAATGATGTATTTCAGTTAAGGCTGGCCCTTAGTTAACTAGAAAAGCTAAATTCTATGCTTTTATAAATGAGTTGCTTTTCGAGATACAAAGTTTCATCAAAGATTAGTTAACTGTCTTTCCATTGTCAAAGTGCTTGATTAACTGTTTTTTTCTTTTCCAGTCAAAATTAATAATAAATTGTCAACCATGTTCAATGAATCACAAATTTGAAGGTATAGTTGGAAAACTGGGGTTTGAAAACTATTATGGAAAAATGTGATTTCAAATTTTGAATGTTTGGCATTACTATGCATAAGTGTTATGATGAGTTAAAATGTCCAGAAAGACCAGGATATAAAGTAATTTTTTAAGAAATTGGCTGTTACGGACCACAAAATATAGATGATGGGATTCAAAGGCCAAAATCTTTGGGTTTTTGGGCATTGAGGTAAGGTTGAAAGCAGCTTCACTTCAATGCCAAATGGGGCATAAGCATCTAACTTATCAATTGGCAATTCTTAGAGAGGCACAATGTTAATAAAATTCCACAACAAACCTATCATAATCTCTCATTTAAATAAGATGTCTTTTTACTTTTTTTTTTTAAATAAAAATAGCCTTCCCTCGAAACTTTTCATCTATCATAATCTTTTTTAACTATTACTGATTTCAAATAATTTTCTTCCTTCAAAAAGTAATTAAATACTTTGGTTTCAATAGCCTCAAACCCATATAATCATCAACTAGTTATTAGTCCTAAATACAAAAAAGCCCAAGTTGTAAACCCTAAAGTCTTCAAAAGAAAATCTTTCAATTGGTAGGACTTGAACCTATGGTCTAGCTTTCAACTAATCACCAAACCACTGAGTGATATGCATATTATTGGTTAACTATCACCATTTTTAACACTTGTTTAATAGTAAAATCATATTTTTCATTATAATATAGCCCTTTCAATTGAACTAAGTCAATTGAACGGGAAACTGAGCCTCTACCAGTTCAACCTCTGGTCTGGATTTTAAAACATGGTAATTTAGTGCTTAAGTATTTGGTTTCCAAAGTGTTAAATGGTACTTGCATTTGCTTTTATAATTTGATTATCACCATAGTTTTCTTATCTAATTGTCTTGTGAGAAAGTTTATTTTCCTTTGCAATCTAAGACTTGGTATGATGGCAATGACAGTAACAAAGAACAGGCACTTGTTGAGGAATTGGCTTCACTCAAAGCATCTAGCAAAAGCTATCCTTCTCATGGTATTTGTCTTTTTTTCATTTATGACCTAATTGAAAGAGCTTATCGGTGTATGTATTTTAAAATATTATATGTTAAATTTGTTCTTATGTGATTTTATCTTCCAGGGATGCATGAAGGAAGCAAACCAAAAGAGTGTGCTTCAAGAAAAAGGATCAACCGTGTTGCTTTTTTGTGGAACTCAATTAAGGCCTTCTTAGGGTATATTTTACTGACAGCTTCTTATATGTAATTGTTTCTGAAATCTTAGATCTTCCAAATTAAAGCCTAGGAAAATCCATGCTTGAGTTTATTACATTTATTGGCATTCATGTTCTTTTATATTTTAGATTAATTTGATCATTGATTTTTATAAAATTTGAATTGAAGCATAAAATTTCAAGGTATCCAATTAGTAAGAAAGGTTCCTATTAAGTGCTGGTTGATATTTTGGAACTGAAAATTTGATCAATAAGAATCACATTCTCCCACAACCACAAACACTTATCTTGCTTAAGTGCAGCAAAAATGTAGGTGTTTTATTCCCCTTGGAGGATTCAGAGAACTATGGATTAAACCATGTATGTTGAAATATCTCTTCATATTCAATAAAGTTGTAGATCTGATCAAACACATTTACGGGATAGAAAAAGCATACTGGTATTGCCTCATTCTTTTGTTCATAAATAGGAAAAGCCTAGCACAGTCACATGCATTGGACACTTTGAAAATGTAAAACATCTAGAAACTCTTGAAAGTAAGAAAGCAAACACATGGAACTAGACATGTTCCTAAGTTCTCTTTTTTTGAATGTTCATTTGACTTGAGGCTACTTGTCCTCTTTAATTTAGATACAGTGCATTAACATATCAAGCACTGTTATGGTCTTAATATACATCATTGATGCCTAACCGAAGACATCAGATGTGTAACTTGTGTGTTTGCAGTGGATTGAGCTCAGATATATGTTTTTGATTTACAAGTAAATTCAAGAAATATAAATTGTTTTGAATGCAATGCCCCTTAACTATGTGGGTATGTTCTTATTGTGCTCTTCTCTGTTTTTTCCCTTCCTAAAGAACTTCCATTTTGCATAAAAATGTGCAGGCAAGGGCAGTCCCGAGAAGGGTTTGCATCAATTAGTTCAGACATATCAGCGTCATTGTGGTGTCGTGGCAAGCCAGATTGCATGGTAACAGTTTCATATTTTACGATTTTCATATTAACTTGTATTTTTACATGTATGCGGAGGACCAAAAAACTGCATGTGGTTGAGACAAAGAAACTCATCGTAGGAAACTAAAAGAGCACCGAGAAGCGATATCTAGGCATGATTAATTGAGGAACCTAACAGATTCTAAACTTGTATTAGACATGCTACTATCGATCTGTCGTATAGATCAGTCCCTCGCATGGTCCTTGAAGTCGAGTTTTGCTTTAATGCAGCCAGGTTCATCAATGGTGCTCCCCATGTTCTGTGCTTGCTACCAAATTTTTGCTTAAATAGCTGAAGATATTATAATTTTGGCAATTAATGACTTAATTATGCATTATTTATCTATTAAAACCGAAACTATTCATCAGCCAATGAGAAGCAATCACGTGGCAGTTTCTTCCTTTTCGTTAGAATCCTGGCAGAAGTGGAACACTGCGATGGTAGATCCTGAAAAGGCCGAATGGAAAAGCAGTCCCTTAGAATGGGAAAAACTTAAAATAAATTTTTTCGCTGAAGTTTGTGAAATATTTTAAAAGAAATAATTTAATCAAAATTTTAATAAAAAATTTAAATCGATAAATTTATAGAATTTAATGAAAATATCAATATTATCTAAAAAAATTATTGAAAATAGTTTTTATAATTAATTTGTGATTTGTGTGATGTTTGGATTAATATTTTTATATATATATATATATATATAAATATACACAAATAATATTTTTAATAAAAAATACAAATTTTACATATGCGTATATTTATGTGATATCTAAAAAAATAAAATTTTAAAACATTCAATGAGTAATATTATTAAAGAAAAAAAAGTGAATATATCTTATAAAAAAATTTTGGATTAACTTAACATTACTTTATTAATTTTGCATTATTTATGTTTATTCCAATTTAAGATAAGTTAATATTTTTTTAAAAAATTTCTTTTAAAAAAAATTCTTTTATTCCAATTTAATATTATTTATGTTTATTCCAACTTGAATATTTTTGGAATAATTAGTTATAATTTTATCAATAGTCAACTTTTTTTTTTTAACTAATTTGAATAAAAAATTATTTTCTGTTACTTATCTTAAATTACTCTTAGATAAAATTCATATAAAAGATAATAAAACTTTAATTGACATCATTAATAGTAAATTCTTCTTTTTTTCATAACAGCAATTTCTTTGTTGTAAATGCAGATTTGTATGTCACAAAAATATTGTTAAAGATAGTTTATATCATGAAAGTTGGTTTTGATTTTTAATACTTTTTTGAATACTAAAGAATAATGCCAATTTAGAAAAAAAAAAAAAAGGACTTTATAAAATATAGTCTTATTGAATTAAAGAACATTATATAAAAAGTATTTCACATTGAAATAGTATTTCATCTATAATAATGCTCTTTGACTTAATTAAAGAAATTGCCAAAAAAAAGTATAAAAATATATAATTAAATATACATGTGTATATATTTTCCATTTGAAAAAAAAATACTACCCCCTCAAAAAAGTGCACACTTTTCTAAAATATTGTTCTCTTCCAAAATATCATTTTTCTTATATATGGGAGATTCATAGATATTCCTATAAACGTTTATTCATAAAAAAAAAAAAAAAACTATTAAGAAAAGGCGATAATAATTTAAAAAATAAAATCATTTACCATACCATTAATCTAGAGATATTAATAACAAAATAAACTTACTAAGTACTAAAATAACTTAACGAAAAAGTAAGATATGTCAATGGGTTTGCAAAAAAAATTAGAGTATCCAAAGTAATATAAATAATCTAATAACATTATAAATCAAAATAATGTAAAATCTAATAATAAAAAATAAATAAAACATAAAATATATAAAACCAAGGAAGTATACTATAAAATATACTACAAACCAATATACTAAGGCAGCAAATAGATTAAATTATGTTTAAAAAAAGAACGTAAAAGGAAAATGTTTTAACATATATTGATTATTGCATAAAAAATGAAAAAAAAATGAAAGGTTAGCTGGCAATGTTTAAAACCCACGTCTATATTCACCTTCATATGATGGTATTTATAGGCAACATAAACTATTTATGACAAAAGGAAAATCTCTATGATTTTTGGTGAAAAATCGAAATTTAATTAATTTAATTCTTTCTATACCAAGAAAGCAAAAACACGTTAATCTTTAATGTCGAATTCTTTTCACAAAAAAATTTACATATTACTATATATATATTTATGGTGTACTTTAAATTGTCTTAATTTGTAACCAATTAAAACTTAAAGTATAAAAAAAAAAAATTTCTTGTCTAATTAATTTAATTTAATTTGATTGATAGTGATTTAATGTATTTTATAATAATTTATTTATTGAAAGCAAAAATATTAGTTATTTAGAAGTGAATAATAGTAATTATTTTTTTCAAAAATTATTTATTAAATTAAGAATGTATATTTGTTAACTACAGGGCATGTGGACTACATGTGGCAATTGTCTAAGATTATCCACATGTCAAATTTCTTATATAAATATATAAAATCATTATGTTATTTTTATATAGGATATGGTATATGGGATGCACGGTTTCTTGATCACAATCTCTATATATAAAATCTAGCATTATAATGTATGATTGATTTTATAACAAAAACAAAAATCTAACATTACAATATATCATTAATATTATATAAATATATAAAATTATTATATTATTTATATATATTTATACATGAATAACATCCATTATTAAATTGAATATTATATTTAATCAAATATGAATGTATCAATTAATTAATTAAGAGTAAACTATCGACTATAATTATTGTTATTATTAAATTTTTTATAATATTTCTAATTAAATTTCAATAGAAGTTATTTGAATCATTAAAAAAAATGTTTAATGACCGTAATTATAATATTTATTAATTTTTTAATCATTAAGAAATTATTTGATTATAATGTATCATTGATTTAAGTTTGATCTATAATTTTGGATATGTTATCTTATATATAAGATAAGTTAATTGAAAATTTTTAAAAAAATAAATATAATTAATGCATTGAAAATTTTCAAAATTTTTATGAAATCAATTCGATTCATATCAATTTAAAATGAAATAAATATAAATAAATATAATTAACACATAATACGTGACTATTGATAAAAGTTATCCACATGTTAATATTATAGGCCATTCACATTAGATATTTTCTTTTTTTACCAAAAGTTTTGGCTTTATATATTTATATGAGATTAATTTTTTGAATCATTAAAAAAATGTTTAATGACCATAATTATAGTATTTATTAATTTTTTTGAATCATTAAGAAATTCTTTTATTATAATGTATTATTCATTTAAAATTTGATTTATAATTTCGATATTTTATCTTATATATAAGATAAGTCAATTTAAAATTTTTATGAAGTCAAATCAATTCATATCGATTTTAAAAAAATAAATATGATAAATATAATTAATACAGAAAACGTGACGATTGATAAAAAATTGTTTATGTGTTAATAGTATAAGCCATCTACATTCAATATTTTCCATTTTTACCAAAAGTTTTGGCTTTTATGTATTATATAAGATTTAAATTTGATTAATACTTATTCAATAATAAAAATTTTATTAAAATTTTTATTAAAAATGATTACAAAAATATATATTAAAATTTATTATTTTTTTTCAAAATTTATATAGTTAATTTGTACAATAAAATTTTTCAATTTATTAATTTTAATTTTAACTTTTGATTTTGATTTTTTTTAACCTTTTTAATATAAACTTTACAAATTTCACCAAAAAAAATTTTTACTTGAGTGTTCCTCTTGAAGATCCCATTGAATACTCCAATTCCTTCAAACCTGACACCACAGACTACTTGTTTATGGTATCTTTTTATGAAAGGTAGCCAATTCCTCATTGTGGTACAAAAGCTTGAACTACGAGTAAGTTAGTTGTGATGATGTTATTAGGCTGCTTAGCAATCATGATGCAAAATCCGGTTCAACCTTCTTTTAGATTCTCTTTCTCTTTGCATTCTCTTATACTTAGAAAATGTCGAGCTTTTAAGCTAGATTTCTTTTGTGAAATAAATTACATGGCATGATAAGAAAATCCAAGAAATAAAATTTCCTTTTATGAATCCTTAAAACACTCTCCAAATATTTGACTTTTTTTTTTGTTAGATTCATAAAAAACTCTTGTCCACCATAAACAAGAAGTTTTAAAAGAATGTGCAATTCTCAAATTTTGATTATTGGTACTTTAAGTAAAAACTCAAGAACATTTTGTTAATCTTTAAACTCTTTTAGAATTTTTTTAATAATAGATAACTCAAGCATATACTCATATCCACTTTAATGCTATTAGATTTGCATTAAATTTCAATGAAGAAACAATATTTTTGTTTGCACCAAAATGACCTTATTGAATACAAGATTCAACAATAACAACACACTAAGCTCTATATAGTATATTCTAAGGTTGGTTATATGAAAAACCTAATAAGATAATCAAATTAAGTTGTAGTTTGAATCCTATTACGCTACTTATTTGTATCAATAAGGACCTTTTCATCTAATTCCTTAACTATCATATCGATTTTTATTACTTGCATCCAATCTTTCGTGGTTGACCTCTAAATGTTTTTGATCTCTTCTAGATTTAGAGATTTAATTCTCTTAACCAATGCACAATTAGGTCTATGTTTCACATGTCTAAACCCTTACAAACAACCCTCTCTCATCTTCTATTCAATTCGGATTATTCCTAATTTTTTTAGAATATTTTCATTTCTAATTTTGTCTCTTCTAGTCTTACTAAACATCTATTTAAGCATCTTTATCTCCACTATGTTCATTTTCTTTTCATATTATTTCTTAACAGCCTAACATTTAGTTTTATATAGTAATGCAAGCCTTACAGTTGCTTTAAACAAATTTGCTTTTAACTTTAAAGAGATGTTACGATTACACAACACACTCGACACATTTTGTCACTTTGCCCATTTTACTTGAATCTTTTATTTGACATCTGCTTCTATCTCAGTATCATTCTGAATAATTGATCTCAAATGTCAAAACTAGCTACTTTTTGGTAATCCCTTACCATCTAATTTAATCACATTAGTACCCACTTTCTTGTGATTGCTAAACTTGCATTTTATATATTCAACTTTAGATCTACTCAATTTAAAACCTCTAGGCTTCAATGTACTTCTCCATAATTCTAATTTCGCATTATGGGCATCATAAGTTTCCATAACTAAGATTATATTATCGGCAAATAATATACAACATGACATCTTATCTTGGATGCGTCCAATGGACTCGTCTATAACTAATGCAAAAAGGAAAAGACTTACTGCTAAGCTTTAATGTAATCCTGAGGTAATAGGGAAACTATTTGTCATGCCCCTAATTGTCTTCACATTCTTTACCACTCCTTCATACATATCTATAACTATATTGATGTACTTTAAAGGGACTTTTCTTCATTAAGGCCTATCAAAGCACCTCTCGAAAAACTCTATCATATGCTTTTTCTAAGTCAATAAATGCCATATATAGATCTTTTTTTCTCACTTGAAAACCCTCTAATAAAAGCCTTAAATGGTGGATCGCCTTTGTTGTGGAACGTTCTGGCATAAACCCAAATTGATTTTTGAAAATAGTGATATTAAGTCGCAACTTACATTCAATTACTCTCTTCCAAAGTTTCAAAATATGACTCATAAGTTTTATTCCTCGATAGTTTGAACAATCTTGTATATCACCTTTATTCTTATATAAAGGCATAAGAGTGCTATTCCTCCATTCTTTTGGCATCTTTTGGATACATTAAATTTTGTTGAAAAGATCCATCAATCATTTTATTCCTATTTTATCCAAGCATTTCCAAACTTCAATCGAGATTCCATCTGATCCTACAACTTTTTTTAATCTCATCCTTCTCAAAACCTCTTTAACCTTGTAGCTTTTAATATTACACTTATACGGATGATTTATATCTTGAAAAGGTTTGTTCAACCCACCATATCATGCTCAAAATTGGTATTAGAAGGATTATCAAAATAATCTCTCTATCTCTTTTTAATCTCCTTATCTTTTACTAAAAGTCTTTCGTCAATGCTTTTGATGCATCTAATGCCATTAAGATCTCTACTTTCCTTATCCCTCATCTTAGCAAAAGATTCAAAGAACAAAATTGTTGTCCTAAGAATTTTTTAAACAACTTTCAATGCAAGAACTATTTTGCATAGTATTTTCAAACTACATATCCTTCCATGACCCCATTCTCTTGGATGCTCTCAAAGTCCAAATTCAAATTGTTAGAACACAGATGAAAATAGCATAAAACAACAGGCCACTATTAGATGGCATACAAAATCTATGATCATGCCACAAATCTACCAATGTGCAACTCTAGTGAAAGTGTTTTTGTCAAGTTTGAAACCGCAAACAAAATCTCTAAATGCATCAACATCCTAATACAAATTTCAACTAAAGAATTCATTGCCCTAATTACTGAATCATGGGTGACATGTGGAAAACTTTGAGAACAAGATGAAACTATTCAAAACTTTGATCCTACCTAAACCATAAATCTAGATGGATATCACCATCAATTTTGACCATAAAAAAGAGATACATACCCCACTTGATATTTTCCCCATATAGGTTATGATGCAACCTTGCTAACTTGAATGAAATCTAGCAATTGAGTATTTCGAGCATGATAGACAATTTGTATATGCATAGAAATCTCCTAAAAGATATTGGTATTGGGATATTAATTACCCTGTAAAGGATGTTTGAAAGATCACATAAGAAGAAAATTTATTTTTACTAACACTTATAAGTCCCTATAAAAATTTTAAAAAAGTGTTGATATTATTATTGCCGATAGTTATTTAACTGCCGGTTGACCATCATTTAGATAAATGTCAGTGAAAATTTTCCAACAATCAAACCACTTATGCCAAAGTTATACATGTATTTGTCAATATGACTTTTTACAACACTTTAAATTACTTTTATAAGTAAAAAAGCTTTTAAATGCTTTTTAAAATGCTAATAAAAATCACATTTTATTTTAAATTTTTATATTTATTAAGTGAACTATATTATCACTTATAACTCCCCTTAACAGTCTATTTTTTTAATAAATTTTTCATATTCCCAAAAAGAAAAAAATGCCAAATCCCTTTAGTTGTTATTGTTATGTCTACAAACTTGTTCATCTTCAATTTATAAGGTTTGTCCTTATTGTTAGTGTTGTACACATGGAAAACATATTGCTTGAACACATTGAACCGAGAACCAGAGCTAGTGAGAGTACAACCAGAAACACAACATTAACCACGCTCATTTTCAGTATTTGATATTAGAATTCAACACAAAACAAATTATGGGAATTCACAGGCCTTGACTGAATCAGTGTTGGTTGTATGTTAACAACAATTTGAACTAGAGATGACACAATCTGAGAAGCAGATATTGGAAGAGAGAAATTCTATGACATCTGGTTCGAGAACCAGCTGAGACTATGTCCCAGAGTCCTGAAATTGATAGAATGCTTTTTGACCCTCAGAAGCATTTGCTGGCCCAGACTGCGGTGTTGCTGCAGCTTTGTTATGCGGACCACAGACAGAATTATTGGAAGCATCTCCCATTGGTCCACTTCTTGAGTTGCTGTTTAATGGGGGTATTACATTATTCACAAAAGCCAATAAAAGAGTTGCAAAATATTCTGGAGGTGGGCATACCGTAGGATTTGATGAACCAATGTGCTGCAGGAATGATTCGGAAAAAGGAATCTGAAACAAATTTGAAGCCAATAAGCTTCGAGAAACCAGTGGGTATACAAGGTAAATGGAAAGAGCAGGGAGCAGAAAGTGTAATTACCTTGCTAAGATCTAATACATTCAATATTTGAACAATGAGTTTTCCAGGTAGATGACCATGGAAATATGCAAGAATGTCACAAACAAATGTAAATCTTAACGGGTGTAAGCTAAAAATAGAGAACACATCACCAAAATCTTGTCAGCTGGTTAGTAGCATCATTCTCAATAAGTCTGTAAACAATTAATGGGATGACTAGAAGCAAATGTGCTGCAATATCATCGAAGAATGTAGGATACCTGTAAAGCGTAGAAAGAGCAGTGTCAATTATAATGCTAAACATCAATAACAAAACAGAAAATACAGAGCAACATACTCTACTAAGTATCTATCTCAACAGGGCACATAGCATAATCCATTCCTAACCATATATATTATATATTAGTGTATATATTAGTTTAAGTACAACGCTCTACATATCACCAGATAAATAAAATTTTAGACTCCACCTTGGAGTGTTTCAAGTTTCAAAAAAAATTTCACCTGTCCTTCCATGAGAGATGATTGCGAAGGGCCATTTGCAAGTCAGTGCGCTTAAACATTCCAGTGTAAAGCCAATGCTCAAGAGGCCCATGACTCAAACAATATAATTTCACCTTTTGTTGAAGTTCTTGCCCGTCAAGTAGGCTTATCTGCAATTTATAATTATGTTATCAGAACATCAATGCAGTAACAATAACAAGTCAAGAGTTTACCTTAATTAGAAGTAGTAAGAATCTGCGGCATTAAACTTTACAAACTTTTAGATAAACTCAAGCAAGATAAAAATTAATTTATTTCAAAAATCTCCAAGATGACATCAAATAAATAGTCAGCATGGTATAATGGAGAATGAAAATGAAATCAAGAGTCGAGATAGAAGAATAAAAGAAAAATATAGGAAGTAAACGAACTGCTATCAGAACCTCATGTGAACACAATAATCTGACTCAATGACATTAAAGTACGATGCTACTCAGTATTAAAGAAAAGGCCTTGCAAAAGACCAAAGTTGCAGTAAAAAAGTTACAGATTCCTCATAGACAGTAATAAAAAAAAATAGTAGTCTCCATATTAAAGATCCAAAGAGAAGGATAAAAGGCCAGTTAAATTCATGTATAATACAAGACTTCAAAAACCATTGCTACTGCTCATTGATGACCAAGTTAGTCATGCTTCCTGAGGATTGAGACCAGAAACAAAACTACGACAAAGACAGGAACTTATATGAGGCCAATTGTTATGCACAACAATCAATTCAGACAACTGCATATATGAACAAAAGTTTCATGAGAAAAGTAGTAAAATATTTCAGCGGAGCATACCACAATACACAGGGCATGGGGATCATCATCACAGTCACTGAGTGCTAGAAGCAATATATCCAGGAATTAGCTCATGGGTCCAAACAAAAAAGGCAAGGTTTGCACAAGTTTTCAATATAAGGTCCTGGAAAAGGCAATTCGGGTGAAATACTTAACAAAACAATAATTTAGTTAATGAAACTACGGAGAAAATGGCTAGAAAACCTGCAAGGAATGCCCATGCTGAAGCTCCATATGAATGTGATGAAGTAATACATCCACCATTGTATAAATATTTGATGAAGTAAGACAAGTAATAAAAATTCGTGTACCTCTTCACAGCCTGATTCCATCATCATTCTAATTGATCTGGTAACAAGTTCAGTGGCTGCAACATGAGCAAAAGCATCAAATTTCAGTATCTAAATTTTACATGAATTTTGTGACTATAAAGCCATTGAGATATCAACAGATATTAGCAGTTGACAGGAAACCCATGTGATACACCCTTTCCATTTTCAATCTACACAATTTCTACTACTGCAGCATAAGCCAAATCCTCTTCTTACAACTCAGACACCATTAATTTGAACCAAATAACTCTAGCAAACATATACACAAAAACATATCGTTCATTACAAAATCAGAATCAAAATGAAGAAAGAGAGGAAGTACGGCATTGACGAACTTTAGCACAACGATTGAGCTGAAACTAGAGAGGAAAAAAATTAGGGATTTTAAAAAATTAAGAAAAGATTAGTCGGATTTGAAAAACAATAGATGAAAAAAGTGATTTACAGAGAGTGATTAGCTGGAAATCGAAGAAATGCAGAGGAAATCGTGTTTAACTAGCTACAAGCAGAGGAAATCGAAGTTTTAGCAAATCAAGCTTGTAGCAGAGATTGGTAGTCTGTAGCAGAGATTGTAGCAGAGTTTGTAGCAATCGAAGAGAGATCGAAGACAGTGCAGAGAGTGAGAGAGATCGAAGAGATGGAGAGTGATCAGAGTGAGAGTGAGAGAGATTTCAAAAAAAAAAAAGTGAAGAGTGAGAGAGATCGAAGAGATGGAGAGTTGTGAGAGTGAGACAGAGATTTTTCAAAAAAAAAAAAAACGTGACAATTTGAAACATGAAACGAGATTTAAAAAAAAAATTATTAATATAATTTTTAAAAATATAATTAAATATATAAATTTAATTTTATAAATTAAAAATATTTTTTTTCATTTAAAGAGAATTGAATAATTACATGCAAAAAAGATATTAATCATACTTATAATCTTTATTTGTATATTTAAATACAAATTAAATTTGATATAAATTGATTATCATCTTATCTTATTAATAATTCTACGCTTCAAACATGATTTTTGTTTATAACAATATAAATATATTTATACACACATATGAGGTACATAACAATATTATGTAAACATCTCATTTTATTTTAGGTATTTTAAAATATTTTTGAGCCCTGAAATTCACTTTTAGTTTTAGGCTTTAATTAGCTAATAAGGGTAAATCTAATTCAAATGTTTGATCCATTTTTATCCTTTTTTTTGTTCTTTGTTTTTTTTTTTGTTTCATTTTAATTTCTTGATCTTTTATTATTTACTTTCTTATTTTCAATAAAAAAGGAAATTTTGAAAAATCTAAGAGAAGAAACAAAAGGGGTTCGATTTTAAATTCTTGAGGAATAGAGTTTTTTTGGATTGAGTCATGGTGAATCAAAGACTCTCTCATGCACCAAAACTTCAATGATATAAGAACAATAAATTGTTTTGAATTGAATCTTTTACAAAATGAGAAAATTGAATGGAGCAAGAAGATTAATTTTTATTAAGATTAAAATTCCTACTGATTTAGTCATCTTAGAATTGGGATTAATTCCCTATAAAATTTGATCACCAAAAACACATTGAAAAAAAAAAAAAAAAGAAAAACCAGAATTCATCCACAATTTTAATTACAACCATCGGCCAAAATTCCAGTTGTAAGAAGCCTAGAAAAATCATAATTTCAATTCATACTATGCAACAAGAATAAAATATGCAACAATAGCCATGATAAACAGACAGCAATAAAACACAAGCAAATCACAAGAGTTTGCAAAAAAAAAAAAAAATTGTTCTAGTAATGGGTATTGGTTTTGCATTTGTTTGAGATTGAGGTATTCTCGGATTTCTAGTTCAAGCAGAAGAAAAGTATAATTTAGTAGGTGGTTTTGGAGTTTTAAACAATAGCTAAAGGTGTTTTTCAATTTTTTTTTTGTGGAGGAATTATTGGGTTTGGTTTTAGATTTAGGCGTGACTATAGAGCTTTAGAGAATTTGGATTTGAAAAAGAGGAAGGAAAGGTTGAGATTTTTTAGAAAAGAGATTTCTTTTGGTATTAGGTTTTTGATGAGGGACAATGTATGGCGTAGATGGCGGCAATAAGAATCTGGTATTAGCGGCGGTTTCTAGATTTCTTTGGTTTTTTGGTTGAATGTTTAGAGAAGGCAAAGGTTTGGCACTCTAGTGAGAGAAGTAGTCAAGGAAAGTAAGGATTCAAAAAATTTTGGTCTTTTATAGCAATAAAGAAATGCTATCGTTTAAGGTAGAAGGTATGCGCATCTAACCTGATAACTTGTGTGTCTTCTCGCAGTTATAAGTCGACCCACTTTTTTTTTTTCATTTTTATAATTTTGTTTATTTTATTTTTACTTTTTTTTTTTAGTTTTGATTGCTTTTTATTTATTTATTTTCTTTGTTATTATATATATTTTACTTGTTTATTTGTTTCTTTTTGTATAGATTTAAATTCTTCAATTTAGGAATGTTTCTAATTATTTTATAGGTAAAAAAAAAAGATATAGGTTAGATAATAATTAATGAATTGATTTTTTTTGTATTTTTATCATGTAATTTAAATAACTTTAATTAACTAAATCATAAATAAAATTCTCCCTGTCATAAAATTAAGAGGAAAACATGAAGGTGATCATTTCGAGAATTTTTAGGTGAGGAATCTTTCCAAATTTACCAAGCATATTGGAAAGATTTTTTTTTTTTTTGGAGATTTTCTAATGTATGGAATTATATTTATTTTTTCTAAAATAAATTTAAATAAATAATAACTTTTAATTGTAAGTTGAATTCCTATAATGAAATTAAGTAGGAAACATAATAATGATCACCTTAAGAATTCATAAGTGAGGAATTTTTTAAATTAATTTTATCAAGCTTATTGGGAGGACTTTTTAGAATTTTCCAATAAAAGAATTTTTATAAAATAAAATTTAGATTAATTAATAATCAACAGTAAAGATAAATAAATAAAACCATTAAATTAAGACCAATATTAGGATAATATAAGATTAATTGGCACTATTTTTAGAATAGGTATTGTGCGGTGTTAAATCTTTCCCACACGTAACTTTACTCTCAAACTTAAATTTAAAACGTAGACCAAAACTTACTTTTTTAGGGACCTTTAGTGAAGCTTTAGACCTCTTTAAAAGGATAGATTTATTAGGTGACCAATCACATCTAATTAAAAAAAAAATTTGGTGATGACTCCTAGTTTTGTATCTAATGGTTGAATTTTCGAACTTGGACATTATAATAGTTTAACAACTCCACTGAAGACTTTTGAAAGTAAAGCTAGTAATTGTTTTTATATTACATTATGTTTTGATTGAATGGTTTTGATTTTTTAATTGTATATTAATTTTTATTTTGTTGTTTTTCATTTAATTCTGTATACAATTATTGGGCATTTAATGAGTTGTTCTTTTACACACATTAGCACATACATGTACATAGCATAAACTTTACACCTCAGTTTTATCCTTTTTAGGATAGGGTAAAGTACCTAAGTTTTGTGAAGTGTTAACCTCAAAAATGGCTAGCCAATCACTCTCACTAAAATTGAACATTTTTTGCTTGTAGCATGTTAGGGGTGAGGATTAGAATACCTTACTAGTCTTACATGAATGACAGTAAGAGACAATTTGGAGACATTTTAGTTTAAAGAATCCAAACCAAGCATGTAGTGAACCATAAAAAGTTAACCCTAGGTTATAACCATATCCACCCATTATTTAACATGTTGCCCAAGTTTGGACACATGAAAAGACATTTCCAATGTCATTTGTATGAATTCTATGATAAATTTGAAAAGACCTTGTTGTTATTTAGTCTTTCATGCATCATTGAATTATTATGTGCTTTTATTCCTTCATTCATTCATCATTATTGTGTGCTTTTATATGCCAAACATTAGTACATGCAATCATGCACCATTAAATTATTAAATGCATTTATTACTTCATTCATTCATTATTATTATGTGCCAAAAATTAACACATGCATCATTAAATCATCATGTGGTGAACATTAATGCACACATTCATTTAGTCATTTATTATTAAGTGGCAAACATTAACACATTCATTTATGCATCATTAGATTTGTGCGTATATTCATTCAAAGCTTTCATGCATCATTAAATTGCTAACATTCAATGCATGCATTTATTTGTACATTCATGCATATAGGATGAATCTTAGCTTGAATATCTATGTAACTATCATTCTAATTGTGGCAACAAAAGGTTTAAAGATAGCTCAATCATAAAAAAATCCCGAGTAGCCTACCTGACATCCATATAACATTTAGTGTAAGCAAAGCTTATGGAGTAAGAACAAGTTAGTCGAATTGAAAAGGTTGAAAAAGCCTAAATAGAAATCAAAGGAGAGTTAGAAAAGATTATGAGAGATGCTCAATAAGATAAACAAAGGAAAAGTCATTGAAAAATCTCTCAGTTTGTAAGATCATCCATTCCAAGATGTTGAGGACCTCTTATATTCTTCTCTTAGGTTTAGCCTATACCAAGTCCAAATATCTTAAAGGGCACAAGCATAATAGCTTCTTTTTTCTAGGCATATCTATATCCATATCTTGGAATACTATCTGTAACTCCCCAAAGATCATTCCATACTTCCCAAGGATTGTTCCAAACTTACACTAATCCTACCATTAGTAAGAAAGCATTTGATCATGTTCAAGTTCCTAGTTTGGATGACCCTAACGAACAAGAAAAACTAACAATAAGAATTTTTAATGCCACAGATGACTCATCCATTTAAAATATGAATTTAATAAAGAAAAGAATTTGGGTAGCCTAAAGAATAAACTTTTGTGACTCTATGGATGCATTTGAGCTGTGCTTGGTACCTAGTGTGGTAATTCCGCCTAAATTCAAGGTTTTTGAATTTGAAAAGTATAATAGGACAAAATTACCTATGACTCATGTTACTATGTATTACCATAAATTAATTGTTCATAGCCATGATGAAAAGTTTGTGATCCATATGTTTTAAGATAGTCTCACTAGCTCTACTGCTAGGTAGTATGTTTAATTAAACATAACCCACTTTATTCTTGGAAAGAATTGGCAATGGCATTCATTATTCAATATAAGCATATTATAGATTAGGCTCAAGATTAGTTATCTTTGCCAAATATGGAGAAAAAAGATTTTAAAAGCTTCAAAGAATATGTCTGACATGGAGGGTTGTTGTTGCTTAGGTCCAACCATTTTTCATTGAGAAGGAGACTACAAATTTGTTTGTCAATACTCTTAAAACTCCTTATTATAAACAGATGATTAGGAACACCATCAAGAATTTTGTTGATATGGTGATTTTTAGGAAAATAATTGAAAACACCAGGAAGAATGGGAAACTTGAAAGAGATGATGCAACTAATGCAAAGAAAAAAGCTACAACAAAAAAAGAAAAAAAAGAAAAAAATGAGATGTTCAAGCTATAATGCATCAAATGTAAAAAGTTGAAGGTTTTACCCCATACAATCCTTATCCAATGTACCCACCTTAACATCCATCCATAAATATCATATGTCAAAATCCTTATGTTTAGCAACTAGTCATACAACCAAGTGCACTAATAGCACCTAATTATATAATGATTTTACATGTTAAAATAGTTGCAAAATTTTAAAATTTGGTTAATTTTTGGTGCCTTAATGATGTTTTCTTGATTATTTAGGGTTTAAGATCATGGAATATGATTTCCATGC